CTAGCCAGGGTGGAATATACTCCTTTTGACTTCAGTTCCTATCCTGTTCATTCATTCATTCATTCATTCATTCATTATTTAACATGTTTGAGTACCTGTAAAGTACCAAGCACAGTGATAGGCACTTTTGTACAGTGTTAAGGAAAATATAGAGTTTCTGCTGTCGTGGGGGTTTCTGGCCCAACGTCCCTCATGCCCCCGTCTGTTGAGCTAGGACTAGGAACCTCTCCTGTCAGTGGGTTTAAGGTATGTGCCAGTCAGCCCTGAAAACTGGCTCCTTTCCAGCCCTTTTCCGTCCGATTGTTTTTGCTTAGTTTCTGTGGCAGAGGTTTCTTTCTTTTACCTTTTAACTTCTATTACAATTTTTACTCCTTACCCCCATACATCAAAAGATCTTGGGTTCGCCCTGGCCAGTTTGGCTCAGCGGTTAGAGCGTCGGCCTGTGGTCCGGAGACACCCGGGTTCGGTTCCTGCTAAGGGCACGTACTTCGGTTGCAGTTTGTCCCCGGCCCTGGTTGGTCGTGCAGGTGGCAGCCACTCATTGTGTCCCTTCACGTCGATGTTTCTCTCTCTCTCTCCCTTCCTCTCTCTCCCTCCCACTCTATCTGTACAAAAAATGGAAAAGTATCCTCGGGTGAGGATAAAAAAAAAAAAGATCTTGGGTTCGATTCCCAGTGAGGTCACATACCTAGGTTGTGGGTTCATTCCCTGGTTGGGGCATGTAGGAAAGGCAGCCAAATGATCTGTCTCTGTCTCTGTCTCTGTCTCTGTCTCTCTAGTTTTTCCTATCTCTAAAATCAATGAACATATCCATGGATGAGAATTAAACAATTGTTTTTTTACTCCTTGATGCATGCAAAAACTTTATCTTGTTTTTTTTTTTTAGTAAATATTTGGAAACCTACAAAATCAAAACAGGAAATAGGTAGTCTAGCTAAGGAAGGTAGCCAGTTGGCTTGATTGTTGAAGGGGGAAATGGAGAAAAAAGAGGTGTAGGTTCTGCTGCTATAAGTGAGTGGATAATCAAATGTTAGAGTCTTATGGTTATTTCTAAGAACAGTGGCTGATGAAAATCCTGTGTTTCAAAGAAAGTGGATTGAACAGTGACCAGGAATTCAATATCAAAGCTATTTATAAGTCAAATGAAAAACAAATTAGTTTCTAAAATATCTCCTTCAAAGTTAGTATTACAGTTAGCTATTAGAATGTGATCTATGTAGTTTCTATAATGTATAATACAGGTGTACTTATATTCTGATAAAAGTATCATTTACTGAATCTATACATGGGATAAAATGACAGAACTATATAGACACATTTGTGATAAGAAATGTCAATTTACTGGTTTCAGTGTTGTGCTTTAGTTGTGTAAGGCATAGCCTTTGGAGGGAACTGAGTGAAAGGTACACTAGACCTCTCTGTACTCTGTACTGTTTTTCTAATTTCCTATGACTATAATTATTGCAGTAAAAAATCCAAAATTTTTAATTTGTATCCACTCTAGTAGATGTGTTATCTCATTGTGGTTTTAATTTTTTTCTCTCTGATTACTAATAACGCTGAAAACCTGTAATGTATTTTATTCGGATAGCTTCTTTGGAAAGTGACTATTCAGTTCTACTGCTCATTTTTATAGTTTCTTTCTCTACAGAAGGATTTGTAAGATCCTCCACTGTATAACTTGCCTTTTCGATCTCTTGTGTCTCTTGGTGAAAAAATGTTTCTGTTTTTAATGTAGTACATTTTTATCAATCATTTCCTTCATTGTGTTTTTCTTGTTTAATAATCTTTCCTACTTAAAGATCATGGGGATAGTATCTTCTAGAAGTTTTATTATTTTCCTTTTCACAGAGAGAACTACAATACATCTAGAGTTGATTTTTGTGTATGGTATGAAATGAAAGTAAAGGGTGCATTCTGCAGATATTGGATGCAGCATTTCACTTATGTCCGTTTAAGCCAACTTTCTCGACTGTAGTTTGTGGACCTGTTCCATAGAGCTGCAAACTATAGATAACCTCATGAAGATACTTTTACATAGAAGAAGCCATGAATTATGATTCCATTTTCATAAATTTCAAAAACAAGCAAAATGAAGGCATAGTATTAAAGTCAACATACTGCTTCTCTTTAGGGAGAGAGGGTGGGTAGTGATGGAAAGGGGTGAAGTGTACTTCTAGGGCGCTAGGTCTGTTCACTTTCGACTGCTCATTGAGATGCCTACTTAGGGTGTATGCCCTTCTCTGGTGTGTGTATGTATTTGTATGTATGTGTGTGTTATATCCTAATAAGCTTTAAGCATTGAAAACAAAACAGAAACATACCGTTTGTGTTCCCATCAGGGAACACCTCTGGCATATGATAAACACAAAATAAATGTTACTGAGGTGGAAGTTGTTACTATGAGCTCTGTAGCAAGATTAAGGGACAGTGAGGAGTCAAAGACTCTGAATTAGCTTGAAGATCTTACCGAATACTTTTGGGAAAGCAATTTTGGTAACCGGGGAAGAGGGGAAGAATCTTTGAGGGCATTTTCATGAAGAGAAGATCGCTCCCCGTGTCAAGGCTGACAGGGTCCAGTGGACAGTGGGAGCTACAGAGGACACGCAACCACTCCAGTCTGAAGGAGAAGACTGTTTGGTTAGCTGTCAAGAGCAGGTGCCACAACTGTTTTGTAATGATGGTAATTACTTTGATTCATCTGACAATTCCTTTTGTTACTCTTTTTACTTGCTGAAACCCTCTTTGGTTGTTGCTCTGTGAAGGGTCAGAGACCCATGACCCTGAGTGGTGTGGATGGGACATGGGGTTTTGGGGGACACTGACCCGCAGCAGTGGAGTGCAGGCGGCCCCTCTTTATTTCAGTCCTGCGGCTTAGGACACGCGTGGGGGGCCCCGCGTGGAGGGCCCCGCCTCGCTCAAGTGCCGCCGGGTTTTCACCCTGTCCTCCGGCACACGAGCCCACGGCTACACTTGCAGGGCGCACTGAAGAAGATACATTTGCTGGTCTGACAGACGAGGTAGTATAAGTTTTATTCATTCACATGGGATGGCTGATGCTGTGCTGGCTGTAGTCATTTTTTTTTTTTTTTAATCCTCACCCGAGGATATTTTTCCATTTTTTGTACAGATAGAGTGGGAGGGAGAGAGAGGAAGGGAGAGAGAGTGAGAAACATCGAGTGGCTGCCACCCGCACGACCGACCAGGGCCGGGGACAAACTGCAACCGAAGTACGTGCCCTTAGCGGGAACCGAACCCGGGTCTCTCCGGACCGCAGGCCGACGCTCTAACCGCTGAGCCAAACTGGCCAGGGCTGGCTGTAGTCATTTTTAAAAATATAGTTTTAAATTGGTTTTTAAAGAGAGAGATAAACATTGATGCGAGAGCGGAACATTGATTGGCTGCCTCCTACAGGCCCCCACAGGGGATTGAGCCCACAACCCGGGCACGTGCCCTGACCAGGAATCGGACTGGCGACCCTTCAGTGAACGGGGACTATGCCCAACCAACTGAGCCACACTAGCCAGGGCAGCTGTTGTCACTTTTCTTTTTCTTTTTTATCCTTGGTGAGAACATTTTTTCATTTTTTGTTCAGATAGAGTGGGAGGAAGAGAGAGAGAGAGAAACGTTGACATGAAAGGGACACATTGAGTGGTTGGTACCCACACGACGCCAACTGGGACCGGGGACAAACTGCAACCGAGGTGCGTGCCCTTAGCGGGAACCGAACCCAGGTCTCTCTGGACTGCAGGCTGACGCTCTAACCCCTGAGCCAAACTGGCCAGGGTGCTTTTTGTATTTCACAGTCTAAGCGAAAAGAGATCAGTGTCCTTGACTAAATAGGTATTGCATGTTTTAAAAATTCTTGTGACATACCAGTTGAAAATCGCTGCTCTCTACACCTGTAGGTCAGGGCAGGGAGCATCTACGTGACCCGCGGCAGTATGCAGTTAGAAAGGGGAAGCTTCCGGGGCAGGGATTCTTCCGTAGAGCCAACTACTCAGACCTGCTGGGCCTCTTTGCTCTTAACCTGTTCCGAACTGAACAGGCCATCTAGATTTATTTATTCCTTTTTTTTTTTTTTAAACAAGTGGGACTACATTATTATGTTGTTGGGTTTTTTTTTAATCGAATTTTTAGAGAAAGAGGAAGGGAGAGAGAGAGACAGAAACATCGATGTGAGAGAGTCACATCGATTAGCTGCCTCCTGCACAAACCCCACTGGGGACTGAGCCCGAAACCGGGACCTCTCAGTCCATGGAATGACACTCAGTCCACTGAGCCACACCGGCTGGGCTCGATTTATCTTTTATTGCATGTTTCCCATTGGTAGAAAATAAAGTGAAAACTTCTTGGCCTGGTACTAAAGGTCTAGCGGCTCTCTCCAAGTTGTCAGGCCTTTTGCCACGTTTTACATGAATGTTGTCATTCACTGGACTACTTTCTAATAAATGATTGTTTGGTCCAAGCTTCTCATCTTTGTTCATGTCACCTAATTTGAATGCTTTTCTCCTTCTCTAAATTCTCACTCTTCAAGAGCTGCTTGTGTCCCATCCCTGCTGGGATACCTCCCTGATCTCAGTACCATTTTTCATGTACTGCCTAATACTAGTTTTTATGTGTGAATTTACTTCTTTCTATCTGTCTTGTAAATTTCTTAAGGGTATAGAACACATATTAGATTGCCTTAGTAATCTCTGTAATACCCCACTTATCTTGTGTGTAAATTCTCAGCAAATGATTAATGACTAGAATGTATGCTCTTATCATGTATTCGAATTATAAAATAGTCATTATATTTCAGGGTTTTCTATGCCTCTTTAGACTCTGAATATTAATTGTTATTAAGTAGATTGCTAGATTCTGTATTAGAACATCCTTTGAATTCTGTTGCAATTAATCCCTATTTTAAAACTCATTTTTCAAAGTTGGTATCAATTATTGTCTGTTGGTTATGCTGTTAGCCAGTTTAGTAATTAGATTCCTCCATTCTACTTCAGCAAGAAGCTGAGAACTTTAAGAAGCTAAATCTCATTAGTAAAGAGCAGTTTGAAAACCTAACACCTGAACTTCCTTTTGAGCCAAACCAAGAAGTTCCTGTAGCACCTTCACAGTCCAGGCCAGGTATGTAAATCTGCTTCCGTGTAAGTGTCTGAATACTGTTAAAGCAGTTCTAAATTGTTTTTTAAGTTTGCTTGAAAACATGTAGGTATCTGGTAAAAGGCTAGAGTTTTGAAATTCAACTTTTTATTTATTTTTTGGTGAACTCCTAAACATTCTAGAGACCTATAAAATACAGGTTGTAGAATTGGTAAGACAGCCATGTGGTAAATGGACAGTTTGAATCCCACCTGACTCTTGGTGAATAGGCAGGTAGTGACAGAGGTGACCGAGGAGTCATCTGCTGTAACACCAGATCATGCTCAAACCGGATGCTTGCTTTTTTCAGGTAGGCAGAATCAGTTGTTTCTTTATGTGTCTCTCTTGATTTTGAGATTGTGGGAATGTTTCTCTTCTCGAAATGAAGAAAAATTTTCGCTGATTTTTAAAAATACACCACTAGTTCATTCTTTTGTTTTAAAGTGTTAGCATTGTTTGAAAATGTAAATACATTTGGAATAATCATAAAATTAACCTGCTGTTCAGGCAAGTGCAGGTGATTTTGTTATAGTCTTTTCTGAAGTCAGGTTAAAGGAGAACTTTTAATTTGGAAAACTTCAAACATGTACAGAAATAGAGCACATTATATAAGGAAACCCCATGTACTCATTGCTACTTTATCAGCCCATCGCCAGTGTCGCTTCATCTTGACTCCACTCATTCTCTTGACCTCGAACTTGATTCTTCTGAAGCAAACTCGCAATCATATTATTCATACCTTTTCATTTCTTAGTATTTCTGTATATGTCTTTACAACAATAAAGACTGTCCCCTTTAACATAAGTAACACAATACCATTATCACATCTACAATTAACAGTGATTTCTTAATACCAAAGAGTTTACTAATTTCCTCATTCATCATGTTTTTTAAAAAAAATGATCAGTATCCATATAAGTTCCAACAATGCAATAGGATGATATGGCTCTTTCAGCCTATAAGTTCATACTGTTGTTTTTCCTTGCAATTTATTGAAGAAAAGGGACTGTTTACCCTGTAGAATTTTTCACATTCTGGATTTACCGATTGCATCCTCATGGGTTCATCCAACTTGTTTTCTGGTCCTGAATGTCCTGTAAGTATTATTTTGCTCCAAAGGCTTGACCGTACTGAGGCTTCTATAGCATTTGACATATATTTTTAAAGGAAGCTTTTATTTTTCTTGATCCATACTTTATTTTTCCCAGTTGTATTATTTTTTCAGCTCTTTTAATATTTCACTTTTTTAAACTTTATTTATTTTCCTTTATTGGTTTTAGAGAGAGAGGAAGGGAGAGGGAGAAAGAGATGGAAACATCGATGAGAGAGAACATTGGTTGGCCGCCTCCTGCATACCCCCCACTGTGGGATTGTGCCTACGATCTGATCATATGCCCTGACCAGGAATCAAACCGGCGACCTCTTGGTGCATGGGCTGATGCTCAACCACTGAGCCACACCAGCTGGGCTAATATTTCTTTCTTGGTTTGGGTTTATTTTGTTACTCTTTTTTTAGTTTACTAAGACAGAAGCTTAGATAATTGATTTGAGAACTTCTTTTCTATTATAAGCAATTAAAAATTTTAAGCATTGTTTTAGGTGCATCATACAAATTTTGATAGGTTTTCATTTTCATTCAATTCCAAATACCCTCTAATTAATTTTTAAAAATTTTTTCTTTGATCCATCAGTTTAGAAAGGTTTTTGTTAAATTATTAAATATGTGTATGTTTTTCTGATAGCTTATTTAGAAAAACTTTTTAAAAAGTTTTTATTGATTTTAGGGAGAGAGGAAGGGAGAGGGAGAGAAACTTCGATGTGAGAGAGAGACGTCAGTCAGCTGCCTCCTGCACGCCCCCTCCCAGGGATCAGGCCAGCAGCCCTGGCCTGCACCTTGACCAGGAATCAAACTGACAACCTCTCAGTGCACCGCATGACACTCCCCTGACTGAGCCACACCGACCAGGGCTGATACCTTTTTTTAAGAGGGAAGTTTAAACGATTGATTTGAGACTTTTTCTCTTATAGGCATTTAATCATACATATTTTCCTTTAAGCTCTGCTTTAACTGCATTTTATAAACTTTGGTTTTTGTTTGTTTGTTTTTTGTTTGCTTTACTTTAGTAGTCAAAACCTAGAAATAACCTCAGTGCCCTTAAAATGGATAAACTAAAAATGGTATATAAAAAAATAAGAATATTACTCTGGGGAAAATGAGCTGCTATATAATATCAATATATAATATCATTGATGAATCTCAATTAGGCAATTATGAAACAAAGGAAATCAGAATTTCAATCATACAAACTCAAGAAATTGCAAAGCAAGGTATGGTGAGGGGAGGTAAATCAGTGGTCACCTGGAGGGGGGGAGGGGCAAGGAGATTACAATAGAAAATGAGGTGGATAGAGTGTGACAGTTGTCATTGTCAGAACTACGATGATGGTTTTGGAGGTTCACACCTATGTCAAAACTTATCAAACTGCACACTTTAAAATATATGCAGTTTCGTATAGGTAAGCATTTCACAAATTTTGATATGTTATATTTTAATTTTCCTTTCTTTCAAAATAATCTCTTTTCTCTGGAAACTTCCTCTTTTATCCATGGATTATTTAGGAATGTGTTTAATTTCCAGGTGATTGGAAAATGTCCTACCATTTCTTTTGTTCTCACTCTGTTTAGTGAAGTTCTAAATTGTTATCTGGTATCATTTCCTTGTGTCCGAAGTATTTCCACAATTTTTTAAGAATAATTATGCTATGATTTATGTTAGTTTTTCTTCCTCTGTTGAGGTGTTTTTTTTGTTTTTTTTTTTAATCCTTACCCTAGAATATGTTTCCATTTATCATCAGCTAGAATGGGAGGGAAGGAGAGAGAGGAACATCGATGAGAGAGAACATCAATTGGCTGCCTCCTGCATGCCCCCCTACTGGGGATGTGGCCCACAACGTGGGCATGTGCCCTGACCGGGAATCAAACTGGTGACCTCTTGGTACATGGGTCTATGCTCAACCACTGAGCCACACCAGCCAGGCTACTTTCAAGAATTTTCACTCATCTTAAATTTTTAGGAGTCAGAGTGTGATGTGTCTGGGCTAATGTATCTTCAGAATTTTTTTTTTTTTAATCTCTCAACTCTTTCTCTTCTCCTAGACTTTATGACCAAAAAAGCAAAAAATATTAATATTTGGCATTTACAGAAAAATTTGCTGAGTCCTGCTTCAGTGGCATTTTGTTTATTAAAGAAAAGGATTAAGTGCTGGTTGTCATATAGTATTTTTTATTAACAGCCTTCAGTGAACACAGCATAATATTATGTTCTGTTTTTATAAAGGTAATTCCTGTCTATAAAGACAATGAGGTCTGTGGGCAAACTTCATATTGTCCAGGTATGCAGTTGTGCAATGATTTGATTTGGTAGCAATAAATACTGGAAAATCTTCAGTAGAATACTCAGCACACCCCTTAGTCCGCTAGTTCTTAAACTTTAGCAAGTTATCAGAGTCACCTGTAAAGCTTATTCAAACAATTAAAGGGCTCTGTACCCAGAGTTTCTATTTTATTTTTTATTTTTTCTCTAAATTTTTTATTTTTTATCCTCACCTGAGGATATTTTTCCATTTTTTGTTCAGATAGAGTGGGAGGGAAAGAGAGAGTGAAACATCGATGTGAAAGGGACACATTGATAGCTGCCACCCACACGACCAACCAGGGCCGGGGACAAACTGCAAGCGAGGTACGTGCCCTTAGCGGGAACTGAACCCAGGTCTCTCTGGGCCACAGGTCGACACTCTAACCGCTGAGCCAAACCGGCCAGGGCCAGAGTTTCTATTTTAATAAGTTGAGGTGGGACCAAAGAATATGCATTTCTAACAAGGTCCCAGGTCATACTGATACCACTGCTTGGGTATACACTTGGGAAGTCAGTGCTTTAGCCTAATCCTCTGAAATATCAGTCTTTTCTGATAAACTTTTAGCAGAAACTGTGTGGCAAATGATCACAGTTGAGGTTCCCTGAAGAGCAGATGGCCTACTCTTTTGTGTTTTTACAGCTTTTTCGAGGCATCATTTTACGTACGACAAAATTAACCCACACGAAGCGTATCGTTTGCATTTCTGTAAATTGGTGTAGTTGTACACCAGCACCACAGCTCAGTTTTAGGACAAGTCCGGCATGCTAACCAGTTCCCTCGTGATCCTTTTCAGTCAGCCTCAGCTTCCGTCTGAAGAAACCGGCGACTTGTTTTCTGCCTGTCTGTATTGGTACAGCCTAGAAATTGTGTATCAGTGGAAATGGAATGGTATCTGGCTTCTTTCAATTAATGTAATATTTTTGAGGTTAATCCATGCTGTGGCTTCTATCAGCACTTTGCTTCTTTGTGTTGCTAAGTCTGTAGTATGGACAGACACATTTTGTTTATCTAGTAGATTTTCTCCAGTTTTGGCTGTTATGAAGAATGCTGTTGTGAACATTTATGTACAGGAGATGGCCCGTGATTTTAATTTAAAAGAAGTTACAATAGCCCCTGCTGGTTGCTCAGTGGTTAGAGCATCAGCCTGCAGACCAAAGTTGTGGGTTCGATTCTGGTCAAGGACATTTACCTCGGTTGCAGTTCGATCCCTGGCCCTGGTCAGGGTGGTGTGGGAGGCAACCAATTGATGTGTCTGTCTCACATTGATGTTTCTCTCGCTCTCTCTCTCTTCCTCCCTCCTTCCCTCCCTCCCTCCCTTCCACTCTATCTAAAAATCAATGGAAAAATGTCCTTGGTAAGGATTAACAAACAAAAAAAGAAGTTACACTTTCTCGATATTTATGTCATTTGAGGCTTGGAGTTGATTAAAAAATAACTTTAATACATTCTTGTTCCTTAATTATTTATATTTATAGTAGTAAAATTGTATCTACTATAAATATTTTTGTACCTGTATTGTCTTAACTACTTTCTGATAATATGTCAAATTATTATAAATTGGTATATGATATGCTGTAAAAATACTGTAAAATATTTATTTTGAGATAACAAAAGTACTCCATCCATGGGTAAAATTCATACTGGATTAAACCTGGTACAAAAATAAATGTAAAACTGAAATAAACCTTAACTCTTCAATAGGAAAACATGAGATATAAATTAAAGTAGGGAGAACTGTGTGATGAACCCTGTGTACCTATCTCACCTAATTTCAACCAGTGTTAACAGGTTGATATTATTTTCTCATCTGTGCCTTGTTCCCTGTCTGTTTCTGGTATTTCATATTGAACCTCAAGCATCATACCATTCCTTTTATAAATATTCATTGTATATTGCAAACTGTTATATATAAATTTTTTATACCATTTTTCACATAAAAGTAGCATCAATTCCTTAACATTTTCTACTGCCCAGTTAGTTTGGTTGTTCCTGATCGTGTGAAATATATCTTTCTCAAATTGGCTGTTTGAATCAGGACTAAACAATGTTCATACATTGCATTTGATGGGCAGGACCATTAAGTCACTCATAATCTATAATCATTCTTCTTTTATTTTTCTGTGCCAATGATTTGTCAAAGAAACTGGATAATTTGTCATAGGATTTCTTATGATTTCCTTGATTGTACCTTCATATCATTTAATATGTTTATTTCCTCTGTTTCTTGTGAACTGGTATTTAGATATAGAGATATAGAGAATTTAGTATATTCAGGATATTTTGCTGGTGGCTAGACTATTTCTCTAGGAGGAGTTATTTACTTCTTATTGCATCATATAATGTCTTTCGGGCTCACTTTTACTGGTGTTTTGATGGATCTGATCATTAGGTTTGGATGTTATCAGCCTGATCCATTCATCATAAAGTTTCCCTTCAACTTTTGGTTTTAGTTCCGTTTTAGGCTCACAGCAAAATTAAGGAGGAAGGCACAGAGATTTCCCATGTACTCCCAGCCCCCAGCTTGCACAGCATCGCCCATCTGTTGAAGGAGGCTGCTTCCCCACAGCAAGCAGCATTGACACAGCCCAGTCACCCAAAGTCCACCATTTGCATTACCGGTTAGTCTTGGTGGTGTTCATTCTGTGGGTTTGGACAAATTTACAGTGACATGTATCCATTACTGTAGTATTATACATAGTGTTTTCACTGCTCTGAAAACCACTCAGTCTATAGTTTACATAGGTTTCATTCTTGGTGTTGTATATCTTTAGGGTTTTGATAGGTATATAATGACATGTATCTACCATACTAGCACGCAAAATAGTTTCACTACCCTAAAAATTCTCTCTGTTTTGTCTGTTCATCTCTTCCCTCCCCGCCCCCACCCCTGGCAATCACTGATCTCCTTACTGTCTCCATAGTTCTTCATTTCTAGAGTCTTGCATGCTTGGATCGTACGGTATGTAGCCTTTCACGTTGGATTCTTACACTTAGTAATGTGCATTCAAGGTTCCCCCATGTCTTTTCACGGCTTGATAGCTCATTTCTTTTTAGCACCGCATGATATTCCACTATCTGGATGTACCAAAATTTATTTATCTGTTACCTACTGAAGGACATCTTGGTTGCTTCCAAGTTTGGGCAATTATGAATAGAACCGCCATAAACATCCATGTGCAGGTTTTTGTGTGGACCTAATTTTTTAGTTCCTTTGGATAAGTACTAAGGAGGGGGATTACTCGATAGTACAGTAAAAGTATGTGTAGTTTTATGAGAAATAGCCAAACTGCCATCCTTCCTGGCTTGCATTCCCACCACCAATGATGAGAGGGAGTTGCTATTGCTCCAGATCCTCAGCAGCATTTGGTGGTATCAGTGTTCTGGGTTTTGGCCATTCTAACAGGTGTGTTATGGTATCTTGTATTAATTTACACTTCTCTGATGACATATGATGTGGAGCATCTTTTTTTATTTTCTGTTTTATTTTTTTTATAGAGCGGGAGGGAAAGAGAGAGAGAAACATTGATGTGAGAGAGACACATCAAGTGGTTGCCACCCACATGACCCCAACTGGAGCCAGGGACAAACCGCAACCGAGGTACATGCCTCTAGCGGGAACTGAACCCGGGTCTCTCTGGTTCACGGGCCGACGCTCTAACCGCTGAGCCAAACCGGCCAGGGTTGAACAGGTATCTTAAAGAAGATATATACAGATGGCAAATAAGCAAATAAAAAGATGCTCCATGCCCTGGCAGGTTTGGCTCAGCGGTTAGAGCGTCGGCCCGCAGACCAATGAGTCGCAGGTTCGATTCTGGTCAAGGGCACATAGCTCGGTTGCGATTCTTCCCGGCTCTGGTGGGGTCGTGTGGGAGGCAGCCACTCAATATGTCTCTTTCATGTCGATGTTTCTCTTTGTCTCTCTGTCTCCCTCACACTCTATCTGAACAAAAATGGAAAAATTTCCTTGGGAGAGGATTAAAAAAAAAAAAAAAAAAAGATACCTGTTCAGATCTTTGGCTCATTTTTTAAAATTGTGATGTTTGTTGTTGAGTTTTAAGAATTCTTTGTCTATTTAGGATAGCAGTCCTTTATCAGCTGAATCTTCTGCAAATATTTTAATCTGTGGCTTGCTTCTCATTCTCTTAACAGTGTTATTTGCAGAGCAGGCATTTTAAATTTTAATGAAGTTCAGCTTATCAATTATTTCTTTCATGGATCATGTCTTTGGTGTTGAATTTCCCCTCACCATTTTACCAAGTGGCTTTATGCAGTCATGATGAATATTCCCTAGATCTTCTGTTTCCTTAAAGTCACAACACAGCAGGTCCCTGAATGATGTCATTTCATTCACCATCATTTTGTTACAATGTTGATGAGATGCCAAAGGAACTTAACTCTTGTTTGTATCAATGAACTTGTGGTAAAATTGGTTTTGTTACATGTCATTTTGATTCAAGTCACAGAACCTATCCATGACATTAAATGCAGACTTACAGTACTTGTTTGAAAAAATCATTCCTTCTCTATTTCTTACCTTCAGTTCTTTAAAGAATATTCTTTTATCTTTTTTGGGGGGTTATCCTGATACTCAATTTTTACAGGAAAGGAAGGGTAAATACATGTTTCTTTCTTTTTCTTCAATTTATCAATTTTCAGAATAATGAGTTGGTGCTTATTTTATATGTTTAATTCATTTCAGTCATTATTTTTAGTGGTCAGGTCACTTCATTTTACTAGGGAGGTACCCTAAAGTTTTCTCTGGTGTCCTCATGACCTAAGCTAGTATTTTCTTTATTAACCTCACTGCTGGCTGAATCAAGATTTCCCAGGCTCATGTTATACTTGGCTCCAGACTTCATTTCTTTTAGCAGACCAAGTCTGTGGGGAATGGAATTTAGAGACCATAGTCTGGTTGCTAGAACCTTACTGTTTCTGGATTGTGTTGCTCTTAGATCTTTTACAAAGGCATTGGATTTTACATGTATTTCAGTTTAGGGTTATATTTGTATCCTTCAGATTATTTTAGTTGGTGCAAGGAAAACAGCGTGAACATAGTTCAGGTAAGCTGATCAGGCTTTGGGGGGGGCATACGCTTTCTCCTAGGAGCTGTTGTTGGCACTAATGTACTACTGTGACTGAGGCCCTTGCTTTCGGGAAGCCTGGGGCTTGGCCTGGGCATCTGATGGAATGATACGTGAGACAGTAACATTGAATACATCAACCAATAAATGGATAAAATGCAGAAGTGGCAAAATCAGGGCTGTCTTGTATTTCTTGATAAAGAGCCTAGACATACACCAGAGGCAAATGGACACACTGAAAGATTTTAGGTATAAATACAAACCGGCCTAGTTTGCTTCTCAGAACAGTCATCCTGGTAACAGTACGGAAAGTGGATTGGGAGGGGAGATGGCAAGACAGGGAGACGAGGTGACAGAGTGGGGACGGGAATAAGCCACACAGGCCAGGGCTGGAGCTTACATTTTTGATACTACTGCTTGATTCACGTGCTGCTTAATTATGACCGTAGGATTTTCACAAACGAATTAGTGAAACCAATGGAGAAAATAGTCAAAGGATTTGAATGGAAAGCTCATGAAAGGGGAAATCTGAGTGATGACTATACATATGAAAATGTGCTCCATTTCACTAGTAACCAAAGAAATACAAATACAATTTAAGTCTCATGAGATGGAAAATTAGTTAAAAAGTCTGAACAAAACCCAGCCTAGACCAGGATGTGAAATTGCTGGGACCTTGACCTACTGCTGGTGGGATTATAAAGTGGTGCAGCCACTGTTCAAAGCAGCTTGCGCTCAGTGTTCAGGAAGTGGGCAGACGCACATGCCCTTGGACTCGGCATTTCCATTTCAGATGTAAACACTGGAGAAATGCTCACACCTGTACCAGGAGACATGTTCAACGGTCTTCACTGCAAAACTGTCGATTATACCAAAAAATTGGAAATAACATAAATGCGGATTTTCAGGAAAATGGATACATTTTGATTTATTTGTATAACAGCATAGTATTCTGCAGTAATATGAATGATCAAAGCTATACAAACAGAACTTGAATATTCAGTTCACAAACAAAATATTAACTGAAAAAGCTTTCAAAATGATACCTATAGTATGATGTCAGTTTATAAAGTTAATTATGCAAAATAATATTATATGTATAATAATAGATAAAAATCTAAAATTTAAGACTCTGGTTCTCTGAAGAGGAAAAACAAAAAAATGTGATTAGGGAAGGTTAGAAAGTGGGCTCCAGGCTATTTTTCTTTAATTAAAACAACAACAACACATAGCAAAATTAAAATTTTGAAAACCTAGGTAATGTGTAGACAAGTGTTTTTTATTTTCATTTTTTTTATTCTTATATTCTTGAAATGTTTCTAATGAAGAAATTCTCTGAGAGTAGAGAATTGTAGACTTATCCTTTTTCTCAAAGTGAAATATTTTCCTAGCATTCAAATACTTTTTTTATTTTGCTGATTTGACTGATAAATTAGCTCAGAAGCTGCTTATTGTTTCAGAAATATCTTCGGCAGCAATGGCATGTTCGCTGCCAGCGGCAGTTCCAGAATCTCCTAGACTTTATCCTGCAAGGACACCCAGAACACCTCGAACACCCAGGTTACAAGATCCAAACAAAACACCAAGATTTTATCCTGTGGTCAAAGAACCAAAAGCCATTGATATAAAGGTACACAAAACAACCAGGAATATAAGCCTGCATTCGATATCCTTGAACATTACAAAACGAGACTTCTTAGTTTCTATCACGTTTAAAAAGGTATATTTTAGATTGTAAGAATCTGTTTAAAAATTTAAAAAAGGTATTTTACCATAGCGATGTTTTCTCGGGTTAAGGAGTAACTTCTTTACGGTTGGGTTAGTGTAATAAAAGATGATCAGAAGGTGTAATAAAGAGTTATAGGCAAAGTTGTATTGCCTTTCATTTTGGGTTGAAGCCTAGTCCGGGGCCTTGTTTGTTAAGTTTTGTGACTTGTGTGTGATAGCTTGAGTTTTGTGACTTCATATGATTTCATAATGTGCCCTCCACAGTATGGAAATGTTTGAGTTGGTTCACAGTCAGAGGGTTTTCATTTACTTGTAAAGTTCACACTAGTGAAAGTAATTGCAATGTTTGACTTTTCTTTAGAGTCCACGAAAGAGGAAAACAAGACATAGTACAAATCCGCCCCTGGAGTGTCATGTTGGTTGGGTAATGGATTCCAGAGATCATGGGCCAAGAACATCCTCTGTCAGGTACTGTGCTCGTCGAACATTGCTTTGTGCTGGATTTTAAGTCTGTTGAAAACAGTTACTAATTATACATTTAGAAATATTTAAAAATTAATGTTAACAAATTATAGAACAATGAAAATACTAAAAAAGAAACCAAAGAAGTTGAAATAAATGCTCTTGGATGATCTGATCTGATCTTTTTTTGTAGTCTCTTTCTGATCATTTTGATTGACCTGTATTCAAGTTTCCTAATTCTTTCCTCAGCTCTGACCTATCCAGTATGCTGATAAGCCCATCAAAGGATTTTTATTATTTTTTTTAACCTCACCCAAGGACACTTTTCCATTTTTTGTTCAGATAGAGTGGGAGGGGGAGAGAGAGAGAGAGAAACATCGATGTGAAAGGGACACATCGAATGGCTGCCACATACACGACCAACCAGGGCCGGGGACAAACTGCAACCGAGGTACATGCCCTTAGCGGGAACTGAACCCGGGTCTCTCTCGATCACAGGCCGATGCTCTAACCACTAAGCCAAACAAGCCAGGGCGGAATTATTTATTTTTGATATCTGTGTCATCTATAGTTTTTTCACTAAACTCTAATTGACTTCCTCAGAGAAGGGGCTCCTGGGCCTACCTGTACCTCATACTTCTCAGAAGATGACTTTGCCTTCCATTGTACTGCAGGAATTCTTTATCTCTGCTTTCCCTTGTCTCCCACTGCCCCCCCCCCCCAAGATAGTTTTTATTGATTTTAGAGAGAGGGAAAGGAAGAGAGAAACATCGATTGGCTGCCTCCTGCACGCCCCCTACTGGGGATCGAGCGCATGTGCCCTGACTGGGAATCAAACCAGTGACCTCTCGGTGCGTGGGATGATACTCAACCAACTGAGCCACACCAGCCAGGGCTCACTGCCCCCTTTTTCGAAAGTTCTTTCTTTCTGGCTCTTTGTGATAAGTGTAAGTAATGGTATAGTCATTGTAGTAAAATTATTTAATACTGCCTAACACTTACTACATTTTTTCAGTAATGCCCGGGGCACTGTGCTAAGTGTTTTATGGGCATTGTTTAAATTTTTGTAGATGTCTTCTTCAGACAGTAAATTCATGGATGGCAGAACCTCAGTGCCTGGCATAGGTCGTACTCAGTAAATGACCAGGTGAATAAACTACCTTCCCCATGTCAAGGCAGTCATGAGCCTGTGGGAACAAAATGCTGTTGAGTATAGAAGTGGTTTATACAACTTAAGTCTAATTTTTCCCTGGTTTATTTGGTTTACATGGCTGCTCATCTTAAAGAGACATTTCAAAGCAGGCTTATCCTTTACCAAGAGTCTCCTAAATTTTTACTGATTTTGCTTGGTTAGAAAGTGATGTTAGCTTTGGAAATTTACATGTAAAATATTAATTAACCATTAAGGAAAAAGGTTTTTTTCCTGCAATTTGGAGATTAAGTGCACCACTGTTCAATCATAGGCAGGTTAAACTTTTATTCATCCTTCCACAAAATTTTTTGAATACCTACTATATGAAAATTTTGTGTCTTGTGGAATGGTTTATTAAGACATAAGAGATGTATGTTAAGCCTTTAATGAGATTACTGCCTAGTTTGAGAGATATTTCTGATTGAGATATGATTATCGTGTATATATCTTCAAACCAGTTATTATGAGAAAGGCAAGAAGGTTCATCCCAACGGGGATGTCATGAGAAACTTCACTGAGCATAGACAGTAATATTGATATTGACGGATGAGTAAAATTTTAACAGACTAAGGTGGGAAACGAGAGGTAGAGGATCTATAAGGGAGAAAATAGCAAAGTTACCAGAATATAAAAATATATGGTGGTGTAGCACAAGGCACATAAGTTATATGTACTTGGAGAATAAGATAGGAGAATACCATAGTGGAATTTTATGGGAATTGATTCTTGTAAAAATTATGTCAGGCTTTGATCAGGCCCTTTTGAATATCCTGCTGCGAAAATTGGGCTCATTCTGTAGGTAATGGATTTTGAGCAGCAAAATGATATGATTTAGTTAAATGATTTTCAAACTTTTGGTTTAAGGACTTTTTCATACTTTTAAAAATGATTGAGGATCTCAAAGAACTTTCTTTTTTGGAGTTAAATAATTTACTGAACTAAAAAGTAAAACTGAATGCCTGGTTGTGGGCTCGATCCCCAGTAGGGGGTGTTCAGTAGGCAGCCAATCGATTTATCTCTGTACATCAGTGTTTCTCTCCCTTCCTTCCTCTCTCTCTAAAGAATCAATTAAAAAAAAAAAAACACAAAAGAGAGTAACGTCAGGAAAGATAGAAGAGAGAGAAGGACCAGGAATCTGTCCACTTAGACAGCAATTGTACTGGCAGAAACTCTGCATTGACCATTTTGGAACTCCAGAGTCTATTTTAACATTTAAAGTTTCCAGGGCAAAGCTGGTCTGGTAAACTGTGGTTAATGTTGGTCAACATCAGTGTTTGGTGTGGTAGCAGCTGCCCGTCTTCCACTCCCAGCTCTGTGACACACTGGGAAGACGGCTACCCACGTTTACTTACAGTGTGGCTGGCTGGAGCCAGGACGGGCAGCGAGGCCCTTGTCCTCCAGGTACTGGAGTGCTGGGTTCTGACTGCTGACTGCCTCTGATCGACACGGTGCAGACGTGTCTGGTGAGGGCCTACCTACAGTTTGCAGATCTTCTTGTCTGTTTACATGGTGGAGAGTAGCAAGAGAGGAGGCAGCCTCTCTCCTGCCTCTTCCAAGGGCACTAATCCCACCAGGAGAGCTCTCGCCTCATGACTTAATTCTCAATACCATCACATCGGGAGCAAGGAAGTCAACAGGCATTTATCTAGTCCTTAACAACAGCCATTGACTTTGATGTGCTGCAAAAGTGCTTGATGCTTCCTTGCATCCCATATTTCTCTAGTTGTGATAAAAAAAAAAAAACCCACATAAAAGTTACTGTCCTAACTATTTTTAAGTATACCGTTCAGTAATGTTAAGTATACTCACACTGTTGTGAAACATCTCCAGAAGTTTGTCATTTTGCAAAACTAAAGCTTCTGCCCCATTTTGTCACACACAATAAGGCATATATACTCAAGGGTTGAGATTTCATGAAGTAAATGGTTTTTTCTTCATCAAGAACATCCTAAACTGAAACTGGCATTTTTAATTTTAATTGCAAGTGCATAGAAGTAAATAATACTGTCTCCAGTAAGCAAAGTTTGGTGCTACTGTCTCAATTTGCAGCAGCAATTGTGTACACCATTGCTTTAGTAGTATCAGTACTAATGTTAACATGGTAAAAAGAGAAAATACTCTTTTAGTATTGCTGTGAAAGTAGTTTTGACCTCACAGACTTTCTGAAAGGTTCCTGGGAACCCCTTTAAGCGTCTACAGACCACACATTGAAAACCACCGACCTAGAGAAGTGTCTTAGGAAGATCACTTTGGTGACAAGATAGAGGAGGGAGCTAGAAACACGACCAGTTAGTTCCACCGAAGAGTCGGAAAGCCTAAATTTGAGTAATAGAATGCAAGAGGAGAGGATGAGACAGATGTAGGAGATATTTTAGAAGTAGAATTAATTTACAAAATTGCAGGTATGTCTTTGTGATAATGAAATTATTGCCTTTGTACCAGATTTATTCCTTATTTCTACTTACTCAATTTATATTATTAACCTATTATTACTCAAGAAAATTGAAAAATTTTCCAGTACCATAATAAAAAGAAAATTTAACTTACCCAAACTAAACTAATAATGGGTTTAGAAGAGGAATAAGCTGATTATTCAGTCATCTGCTTCTTGTTATTGTTTTATTTTTATTATTAATTTTTAAAGTATGTTTTTATTGATTTTAGAGAGAGGAAGGGAGAGAGAGAGAGAGAAACATTGATGAGAGAGAAACATCAATTGGCTGCCTCCTGCACACCCTCTACTAGGGATCGAGTCTGTATACCAGGCATTGCCCTGACTGAGAATCAAACTGGGAAGACACGCAACCATCTGAGCCACACTGGCCAGGGCACTAGTTACTGTTTAAGGGAATTTATGACCATTTAAACAAAATTTTTTAAAATTGATTTTAGAGAGAAAGGAAGGGAGAGGAAGATAGAAACATTGATGAGAGAGAACATCAATTGACCTCCTGCATGTCCACCCACTGGGGATTTGGCCCACCACCTGGGCATGAGCCCTAACGGGAATCGAACCAGCAACCTGTTGGTGCATGGGTCGACGCTCAACCACTGAGCGCACCGGCCGGGCTTATGACCATTTGTTAATAAACTTCTGTACACAAATGGCAATTCACATGTAGATCTATATGTCATTAATTTAGGAGAGTTTTGGGGACTAACGTCTTTTCCATTGCTCGCATTCCCAGTAATAAACAAATAGTGAAAATTGGTTTAAACACTGGGTTCTTGATATTTTAGTTTGAAGGCTTTCTGCCCCTCCTCACTCAGCAGTTCAAATACTTCACCTTCGGAAGGCGCACAGCTGGTGGGAAGTTACGGATGGACTCCTCATTCGTTCCCGAAGTTTCAGCACCCTTCTCACGAACTTCTGAAGGAAAATGGCTTCACCCACCAAGTGTACCACAAGTATCATCGAAGATGCCTGAGTGGTAAGATGCTTTTTCACAGCTCTATTTAAAATTAAAATAGTCAAATCTCGGTTCTCAAACGTCTCCCGTCTCAAACAGTTCACTTCTCAACGAGTATTGAAAAATTCAGATTGCGACATTTAATATCAAGATAGTCACGCTGACACCTGTAGGATCAGTCACCTGTAGGATCAGTCAAGCCTCTCAGGCGACAGGAGAGAGTGGGAGAGTTAGAGTCAGTTTACAGCTAAACCTCATGTTGTTGGCGTCTCAGGAAATTGTGCTGTGAATATTGTCGTGGTTTTTTTTTTTTTTGCTTTTGTTGCTGCTTATTATTATTAAATTTTTTATTTCATTTTAAAATTTTCATTTACATTTCATATTCTTTTTGGTTTTAAAGTGTTTATAGATTAAAAAGTACGTTAGATATAAGATATATTATTAGATATGTATAGATATATTATATATATTATTATCTTATATATGTTATCTATTATATATATAGATATAAGATATTTATTAGATATATTATTAGATATAAGTTATGTACTACATATAAGAAAGGTTAAAATAGGAAATCATTTGGGGGTCTGGAACAGATTAATTCAATTGACATTATTACTAATGGGAAAAAATGACCTGGGTTTTGAACAGACTTCCAGAATGAATTAAGTTTGGGAAACGAGGTTCCTCTGTAATTCTAAAAAGTTCAAATTGTGCCATTTAATATCAAGATATTATTTTATTTGTTATGCTAATAATTAACTTAAGTAAATGTGTTTATATATTCTTATTCATGAATTTTGCAGTTTAGACACATGAAGAAAGAAAGTTTACTATATTTTTGTTACTACTGACAAATGCTTAAACTTGTTTAGAAGAAACCCGAATACGTTTTGAGGATTAATATGTTGCAGCTTTCTTTATTTTAAGTTATGTAAAACATCTGCTTGTTTTGACTTTTAACATTTTAATTTTAAAATGTTTTATTATTTTAACTTTTTCCAGACAGAAAGCGCTTGGGAGTTGGCCGGTCCCAAGAAATGAATACCCTCTTTCGCTTCTGGTCCTTTTTCCTCAGAGACCACTTCAATAAAAAGATGTACGAGGAATTTAAACAACTTGCTTGGGAAGATGCAAAAGAAAACTACAGGTCAAATATTTTTTTACCCTTGGAGAGAGAGTTTTTAAAAAATAAGAACTAGTATTGAGAAGTAGCCCTGTTTTGAACTGTGACGGGATCATCACATAACCGGAGGGAGGGCTGTCCTGGTTTTCTATAGCTGCATACCAGCCCCCCAACTCAGAGGCTTAGAACAACAAACACAGTCCAGTTCCTGTGGCTCAGGCCCAGGAGCAGCGCAGCCCGGCTGTTCTTGCTCAGACCCCGCATGACATTGCGGTCGAGGTGTTGGCTGGCGCTACAGTGTCTAAAGCAGCGGTTCCCAACCTGTGGGTCGCGACTCCTTTGGGGATCGAACGACCCTTTCACAGGGGTCGCCTAAGACATAACAGTAGCAAAATGACAGTTGTGAAGTAGCAACGAAAATAATTTTATGGTTGGGGGTCCCCACACCTTGAGGAACTGTATTGAAGGGTCAGGCAATAGGAAGGCTGAGGACCACTGGTCTAAAGACTTGACTCAGGCCGGAGGCCTCTCCTCCAGCTCCTTCCCATGGCTCTGGGCAGGAGGCTTTGGTTCCTGAGCACACGGGCCTCTGCGTGCCTCAGGGCCTCCCACAGCCTGACCGCACTCAGAGCTGGAGCTGCACCAGAGGATGAACTTCGAGGGGAGGGAGGCTTCGGTGTCTTCAGAACCTGTACTTGGAGGCGGCTGTACCCGCACCCCTGCCACATTGCGATGGTCATAGGCCCGCCCGCGGGCAGTGCAGAAGGCTTGTACAGGTTGTGACTGCCAGGAGGTAGGATCCTTTGGGACCGTTTCAGGGACTGGCGTAAAGGCCAAATGAAATTGGACTGACTTCCCTCTCTCTTGCCCCCCCATTACAGACTTCCTTGCATGTGCTTATACATCTCCAGATTAATACACGCTTGAGCCAAGAGAAAGTAAGGCCTCTCCTGATGTGTCCAGACTTACCCGTCCAGCCTTGTTTCTTCCCACTGCTAGTCCTCCGGGCAGCACTGGTACTGGGCTGCGTGTTCTCTGGCGGCCGAGCCCTCTAGCGTCCAGACGTCTGTACATATTCTTACCTCTGCTTGTTCCCCTTCCTCCCTCCACTTTGCTAACTCTTTCTCTTTGTCCAGGTTAGACCTTGCTTTTCTGAGAAGTGTCCAGGGGGGATTTTGAGGGTGCCCATAGGACTGTGGAGACCAGACCAATAGAGGGAGAAGGAACACGAAGTGGACCCCTACAAGCTATGTATTCCTTGGTATAGGGAGAAAGAAGTGACAAAGAGGAAAAAAGATAATTTTCTTCTCAGTATTTTCTAAATTTATCCTTCAAGTTCCAAAAGTGGATTTCTCATATAAATTTTTAAAAAGAATATATTATTAATCAGATATTGTGATCTTTAAGAGGAAAAAATTACATTTGCACTGACTGGTAAAAAATAAAGCCCATTTAATTTGCATCTAGAATCTATATCTTGATAAAGAAGGACAGATACATGGTATGTGTACCTCTTATTCTCCCCTCCTCGGTACACTGCTGACCTCTCTAATCAATCCCAGCAGTTTCAATATCATTCTTGAATTCAGACTTGTAGTCTGATCACAACTTCAACAGCTACTGTTAGCCAGTTTACCAGAGTTGACACCAAAGGCAAAGTCTGCCATTTCTGATCGCGAGGTTCTCATTCACCCTGTGGTCTGTAACCCAAGGGAGAGTTGCAAGATCAATTTAGTGGTTCTGACTTGCTTAAAAAAATACAGTAAAAAATATAGTAAAATTGCACTGAACATAGTAAGGATAAATTGTTTCACAATTCATATATACGTAGACATTTAAGAATAGTCTGGAAAACTGACATGTGCTTTTATGTACACACATAATGTATGTGAGTGTTGTATTAAGTTGATCACAAATTAAAATATTTTTCTTACTATTGAACTCTGAAAAGTTTGAAAGCCATTGTTATCAATAATTTCAGTATGTTTTGCTGTTTAAGCAAACAATTTGTAATACTTTCTAATATTTTCCTGATTAAGTTCCTACCAAAGTCTAGGTTGGGAGTCCCTCTTCTCTGTTCTTCTGTGTATGTCTGTAATAGTTTTTAACACTGTTTTATAATTTTGGGTCTGTTTCTTCAGTGTTCATGACTAGACTGGTTGGCTGTTTCTTAGGAAGTGTAGCACAGCACGGGAAGGCTTTGAGATGAGACCTGGCCCATTCATTTACTGTGACTATGGCAAATTATAATCCCCCTAAGCTTTAGGTTCTTTATAAATTGGGGGAAATTATAGTAGGTACCCTCATAAGGTTATTGAGAAGATTAAACAAAATGACATGTAAAGGGCTTAACGTATTACCTGATACATAGCAAGTGCTCAACGCGTGGTTATTGTTAGGAAGAAGGTCATTACTAAATACAGTGATACCTCGGTTCTCGAACGCCTCGGTTTTCGACCAAATGGAGATTCGAGAAACTTTTGTCTCGGAATCCGAACAAATATTTGGAACTCGAACTTCCGAGATGAGCCGAGTTGAACCGAATGGCGTTCATTCGGCCCAGCGCGCCTTGCTCGCGTCATCAGTGTGAGTGCAGAGAGAGAGTCACGCTTTGTGGAGTCACGCTTTCCTATTGGTTTCATTGCTTCGGTTCTCGACCGTCCTCCTGGAACGAATTATGTTCGAGAACCGAGGTATCACTGTATATTCATTAACAAAAAGTAGCATTACGATGGTTTCAAGGAGGGAGAGAAATAACATTTATTACATATCTTCAGCTGGGGTCGTAAGTGTTTTACAGGTAGTATCTCAACTACTCTTGAAAGGTAGGATATTATTACCCTATTTACAGGGATGTAGTTATAAGACTAGAATTCAACTGTAGTTCCTTCTGGTTCATAGCCTTTAAGCAATGAGGCTGGGCAAGTGAGTCAATGACAACTAAGAGGCCGGTCATTTGCCCCTGCTCTCTTTATTTTTCAATCCTCACCTGGGGACATTTTTTCATTTTTTGTTCAGACAGAGCGGGAGGGAGAAAGAGGAAGACAGAGAGAGAGAAACATCGACGTGAAAGGGACACATCGAGTGGCTGCCTTCCGCACAACCCAAACAGGGCCGGGGACAAACTGCAACCGAGGTACGTGCCCTTAGCGGGAACCGAACCCGGGTCTCTCTGGACCGCAGGCCGACGCTCTAACCGCTGAGCCAAACTGGCCAGGGCCATCCCTGCTCTTTACTCCAGCAGTCATGCCACACATTTGGATTGTGTTAATGTCATACTTTCGGTCTTTGGGATTCATTTGCTAAGAAATAAGAGTAAAAGTCAAATGTTGTTTTAGTATATTGGCCTTTGCCAATAATCTAAGGATTCTAACATTCCTCTAAAATTTTACTTTGATAAAAACCAAAAGTTCTCAGTTCTGCTTTTCAGAGAGAAAGAAAGAAAGGGGCCTTGGCTTCACCAAAGATTCTGATTTCATGGGTTTGCAGCAGAGCCTGGGCATCAGTATGTGTTAAAAGCTCCCAGATGATTCTTCTATGTAGCCAAGGTTGAGAGCCACTGGTATCAATGTAACATCCCATAAGAGGACGGTCAAGGCAGATTTGTCCCTCTGAGCTGCTGTTCCTTTAGTCCTTAGTTCCCGTAGCCTTCGGTCATAAACGAACTCAAAGAATAGCATCACTTCTGGCTGTCAGAGCACAGGGCTCTGGTTTGTGTGTGGGTGTGTAGTTGGTGGTCCTGCCTTTCTCTTGGCAGATTGCTGTTCTTCTGGACTGTCGCTGTTTTGTAAATAAGCCAGTTACAACACACACACGCACACACGCACACACGCACGGACCGGCTGTCATTCTTTACCTTGTAAGTAAACTGGTTACAAAAGACACACACACCCTTCTTCCGGTGAGTAACAGCCAGGTGATGTTCTGTTCCCAGTACTGTGATGAAGACAGTATCACCTCTGCTGCACTGAGGCACCTGGAATGACAAGGGTTTTACAGCCGAGGAATCTTTTGTGACGTATTTTAGTTAAGTGAGCTGTGCTGTTGACCTTGTCTGTTCTCCTGGATTCGGCTCATCACTATTAGTGGGAGGTTGAGTCCACGTAGTTTGCTGATCCACTGTCCACGATTTGTCTCAGATCCTCTGGGTAGTTTTAGGAGGGAACAAAGGAATTTATTTTCTGATTTATGTAGTGATTACAGTTCTTTCAGCAAAATGTGTTTTGTGAAATGTACTTTATCACTAAAGCAGAGAGGATCTCTTAAGAGCCATTTAATTATGTTTGTCCCTTTGTAGTGGAATGAGTCAACCACACCTCGGGTCTGGAGCACAAAAAGTATGGTCTTTATCTCTCTAGAGTAAAGATTATGTTCAAGGGTATTTAATACTATGCACAAACATGCCATTGTAAACCTTGGTTTGGGAACAATCTAAAACATTCCTAATTTGTCATTAAATCTTTCGACTAGTTCTTCAGCAATACTGGGGAGAGATCCTTTGTCCAAAGAAGTTCTCTTCTGGTTGTCCAAGGGCTCCCTCACATTCTGTGGGTTCCCAGTGTACCTCGGGAGGTGCTATGGCTGAGTCAACAAAAATAGCAAAGCCAAATAAAGATGACAGATCACGGCTTCAACTAAACATCTGCGTTCTAAACATTTAGACATGTATTTTTAAAAAAATGTATCTTTGTTGTTGAAGGGGAGACAGCTGTAAACATGTATTTTTAAACATACATACATTTAAACATCTTTTTTTTGTTTGGGATTATTTATGCCATGTTTGCTTACATCAATGCTGTTAAACATGAGATGTTGGCATTGTCATAGCAAAAACTTAATTATAAACATTTTATTTCTTTTCCATAGGTATGGATTAGAATGTCTGTTCAGGTTTTATAGTTATGGACTGGAAAAAAAATTCAGACAAGAAATTTTTAAGGATTTCCAAGAAGAAACCAAAAAAGACTACGAATCTGGTAAACAACAACAACAACAAAATCTTATTCCTTTTGTTAATTGTAAACCCGAGCCTGTCAGTAAATAGGGAATTCATCGCTTTTTTCTTAAAGACCTTCAGGCCACTGTTGCGGTGTTTGATGAAGGAGACCTTCCCTGCGAGGTGGTGGAAAATAACTACTCCCAAATGTTTTCTCTGCGGGGTTGTATTTTGTTATGATTGACTTTACCAACATGATGACTCACTGATGTTCTCTCACATGAACATTCTGTGCAGCATCAGTGGGTGTGCCTGGGGTGGTGGAGCCCACAGGGGGTCAGCACAGGCTCTGGGCGAGGTCTGAATCCATTCCCACCACTTAGTAACTGTGTGACCTTGGGCCCGTTACCTAACCTTGTCAGTTTCAATTTTCTCATCAGTAATATATTCAAAAGCAACTCTGTTCCCGGGTTGTATATATGCTTCAAATTAGTTTAATATATAATAAACCACTGAAATAATAGTTGTTACATAGCAAGTAAATGTTAGCTGCCTTTATTCATTAAAATGTCTAATTCTCAAGATCTAGATAATGTATATATTGAAGATAAATGGTTTATTGCTAGTAGGATTATGTTTGATATGAATCATTTAAAAAATTTTTTATGTGATTTATTGTGTCTATTTTTTTTGTTGTTGTTGTTACTAGGTCAGCTGTATGGATTAGAAAAGTTTTGGGCTTATCTAAAATATTCTCAAGTTAAGACACAGGCTGTTGACCCAAAACTTCAGGAATACCTCTGTAGCTTTAAGAGGTTAGAAGACTTCCGCGTTGATGTAAGTTTCAAGTACTTTCCTCTGTATTCTTTTCATTATCCTTATATTTTGAGTTATCAGTGACTTCCTCAACTTTAATTGTTCTTTTATTTGTTTTTTTAACTTTTATTTTGAAAATGTAACTTTCCAGTTTTGAAATCAAACTTTAAGACAGGTGCAAACATAGCACAGAGAATTCCCATATACTCTTTCACCCACACTTCCCAAATGCTAGCGTCTCACCGACCACAGTGCGGTAGGCAGGGCGCTGCAGTTTCGACCTGCCTCTGTCGTTCGACATGCCGCAGACTCAGTGACGTTTATGTGGCTGTGGTGCTGTTTTCACCAGCAGCTCGAGGACTTTCATACACTCTTACAGTTTTCATGACATATGCTGATGGGACGTGAATTTTGGCCTTTTTTTTTTTTTTATCATCCTCACCCGAGGACATTCTTCCACGGACATTCTCCCACCTTTTGTTCAGGTAGAGTGGGAGGGAGAGAGAGGAACAGAGAGAGAGAGAAACATCGATGTGAAAGGGACACATCGAGTGGCTGCCACCCGCACAACCGACCAGGGTCGGGGACAAACTGCAACCGAGGCACGTGCCCTTAGCGGGAACCGAACCCGGGTCTCTCTGGACCACAGGCCGATGCTGTTAACTGCTGAGCCAAACCGGCCAGGGCTATTTATCTGTTTTTAAACATTACCATTTAAGCAAGCCCAGGATAGGAGGTTAGAGCTGAGGAGGGGGCTAGAGTTATAGATGCTTTGAAATGAACAGAAATTGAATAAAGACAGAAAATAGCCTCTGTGAAACATTTTCTTGAAGCAAGGAACCCAGCGTATGCTTATGCCCTACTATGTAGTACAAGCCCTAAATCAGGAGAGAAGCTTAATAAACATGTGAGTGAAAAGAATGAAAAAATACTAGCAGGTGGATTTAGCTGGGGAAGACATTAATGTTTAATACCTTAGATTGCTGTTAAGTCTTTGTTACACTAATAAAATCTGCTGAAGTGCCAAACAGTTTCCTCTTTGTTGGAAAAAGTCTGGCCTTAGATTTTAATGGGAGAAAAAATAGTATAATCGTCGCTGTGTTTTCTTTCATAATTTGCAGCCCCCTATTAGTGAGGAATTTGGAAGAAAAAGACATTCGTCTACTTCTGGTTCAGAGAGTAATCGCCATAGACTTCCATCTAATTCCTCCACAAAGTCACTCAATGCTGCTACTCCTGCACCTGCCAGTCAGCTTCAGGCTCCAGGAAACTCTCCCCGAAGGAACGTGTCGCAGGAGCCCAGTGGCAGTTCGCACCCCCCGAGCGCTGCCTCTGTCTCCACAGACGGTGACACGTCTGAGAAGTAGACGCTCATGGAAGCTGTTTGCCCTTGAAATCAACATTTACATCGATATTCATTTGGGAAAACCTTCTGATGTTTGTGATAATCAGAAAAAAGAAAAAGGAAGAAAAGTGGTAGCAATTTTTTTTCAGAGCAAGATCACTTCTGAAAACGTTTTCCCCGACTTCGTGAACAAGGATAGTTTTGGTGATCTATTACAGAGATCCTCTAGTAATGAATAGGTCTCAGAAGTTCTTTTTCAAAGCCATTGTTTACAAGAACAGCATTCCTGAAATATATTAAAAAACAACACAAGGAATGCCTAACATTTCAGCTCATACTTCTTAAAGAAGATATAGTATGTTGTATTCATCTCTTCTATAGAGCTTTCTTAAAGAATTCAGTTACCCCACTATCAATTCATATTTGAACTTATCAAAAACAAAAGATGACGTATATATTTTTTTAATTCAGAAAAAGAATATGAAATGATACATTTACTTTTAGATGTATAGTTTAAAGGACCCCCCCCCCCTTTTTTTTAAACAACAGTAGAACTATACTGCAGCTATATTAAAGCATATGCACTTCGGATGCTAGATTTTGCTTTTTCCCCTGCGAGTTTAACCTCACAATTTCCATAGTTACTGTTGCGTTGGTGTGGAGTGCTGTGAATTGGCATTAGTTGGTTACATATTAGGAGTGATTTACTTTTTGCGACTCTATATAAACCTACAAGAGTGATTGAAAAGTAGTGAAAACTGGGCCTGGAATATTGTCCCGAATTAATGAAACCTTGCACCGTTTGGAATGCACCTGCTGTGTGTAGATCTGCAGGTGGGAATGTCCCAAACAGGTTACCTTCGTACTTAATTTTTCCTTTTTGTTTCTTTTAGTTTTGTTTTATGCTCGTGTTTTCAAGAGTTACAGAAAATTGATTTCTAATTTTTATTGCTATTGCAACTGATGTAAATGATAGTTTCAGTTTTTGTGGGAATTAAAAAATAAAGCACTTATTCTAAGTTATTTGAATTGATTTTTAATTATTTTTGTTTAGAATATAGTTGAAAAACTCTAATATTCAAATATGCTAATAGAAAACCCTTATATTTTATGAATAAAATTTCAGTTATAAACATATCCATTTTTATTTAGCACATATATTTTCTTGTATTGGCAGTAGCTGCTGGTTTAATATACTAAATTAATTTATTATTTTCTTTTTGGCGTCTTGTTCTTATAGAATGGTGCCATTGAAATACATGTAACCTTGTTTGGATACATGGGCTATTCGATAAGAGATTTTCATTAGACTTTTTTCCATACATAAATGATAATTTTCAGTTTTATATTAATAAATATTTGGGGGGTCATTTTGATGTTTTAATTTTAATAAATGGTCAAATTCAAATATTAAAAAAATAAATTTTACTTAAAAAGAGATTTTGGATAGATATTGCAAAACAACTAATAGATTAAGAAACTACTTTTTTTAATGTTTTCTTTAGTGGATATGTACTTTTGGCTTTTCAGTGAGAAATTTGAAAATCATGCTTATTACCTTTAAGTCATCTCTTGAAATTATCTAAAATTTTTTTCTCAGTATCCCTTTTGTGTTGAACACATACATATAACCCAGGACTTTGTACTCACCTAAATTCGCAGTACAAATATAATTGGAAAATTGTATATTTTATATGAAAATACAGTAATCAAGAGTTTTGTGATATGTAATAAATTAGTAATTTTATCATATTATTAATATCATATCATAAAATTAATGGCTCTCCATTGGGGAATTTAGAAACGCACAAAGAAGAAAATACAGAAAAAAGCAAAATTGCTGTCAAGCTACACGTATGGCATAATAGCCTGCTTTCTCACATGACAGAGGTGAGCCTTTGCTCGTGCCATGCATATTTCTGCGCCGTGACTCTTAGTATTTACATAGTAGTCCAGCATATGGATGCACCGTAGTTAATTCAGTTATCGTCTGTTGTTGAACTGTAGCTTGTGGCCAGGCTTGGGCTCTTATAATTAGCAATTTAATAGCATCCCCTCAGATGAATCTTTGTGTGTAAACTTGGAGTTATTGCCTAGCATGAATTCCTTGAAGCTGACATTCTGAGTGAGCATGGGTTCTCATTTAACATGCTCTAAGATGGTGGCACACTTTATACTTTCACCATTTTTTTCCTTTTCCTACATCCTCACCAACACTGCTTATTATAAATCTTTCTCTTTGATAGACTTAGCCGCAAGAAATATTATTTTAATGTCATTATTAATCTCATCATTTTCATCAGGATACTATTGACTGATAATATTTATTATTGATTATTTGTCTTACTTATCAGGAATATTAACCCTTTGCTTTCTAATTTTGTTTGTGTATATTTGACTTGGTATGTACATTTTTGGGGTAAAAATTTTTTAAAAGTATAACCCTTACAGAAGTCCCAAATGTAAAAAATCAGGCAAATAAAAGCATTGTTATTCAATAAAAAGAAAACATTATTGGCTGTAAATCTAAAGAGTCGTACCCAAAATTTATGTAAGTCCCTAGAAACCTTAGATGCTTCCTTCCTTACAATTTTGCAGTTTTTTATTTTATTAAATATAAAAAGCAATGTGAACATGTTTAAATCCAAATAACTTTTCTTTTGAAGGAATAGTTGAACCATCTTTGGAATTCTTTTTTTTTTCCCATTTTTTTTTGTACCGACAGAGTGGGAGGGAGAGAGAGGAAGAGAGAGAGAGGGAAACATCGATGTGAAAGGGACACATCGAGTGGCTGCCACCCGCACGACCAACCAGGGCCGGGGACAAACTGCAACCAAGGTACATGCCCTTAGCGGGAACTGAACCCGGGTCTCTCTGGACCACAGGCCAACGCTCTAACTGCTGAGCCAAACTGGCCAGGGCCTTTTTTTTTTTAATAAGTTAAAATTGATTTTTTAGGGAGAGATCGAAACATCCATGTGGGAGAAAAACATCAATCGGCTGCCTCCTGTACACCCCCCGGGGATCGAGCCTGCGACCTGGGCATGTGCCCTGATCCGGAATCAAACCAGGACCTTTCAGTCCATGGGACGATGCTCCGTCTGCTGAGTCACACTGGCGGGGCTGGAATTCTTTATACTAAGAGGAATTAAGGAAGAGAGATTTGTTTTAAAATTAGGTTTTTATTTTTTATTTATTTTTCTTGCAGAGTTCAGCTTTTTATTGAAAGTGTTACAAAAGAGGTTTTATCAGAAAGACCAAAGCCCATGTCTTCATCCCACTCCTCCGATTCTTCTTTCCTCGCTTCTGCTCTCTCCTCAGCTGGGGCAGCCGTCGGGGGTGGGGCAGGGCCTCCTGCTGGAACACCTGCTGCTGGGCGGGGCCACCAGCCCTTCGGGACAGGCTCCTGGGTTGGCTCTTACCCCAGCCGCTTCGGTGAGGGCGTGGATCTCACCCTCCAGCCCTGCAGGATGGGGGCCGAGTACATGCCGGCAGCTCCCAGATGGAGGCCAGGTGTGGGCGAGTGCGGCCGGCGGGCCAGGCTCCTGCCAGTCCCCTGCCAGTCCCCTGCCAGTCCCCTGCCAGTCCCCCGATGAGCTGAGGGCCTCCCCCCAGGGTGGCCTTGAACTGCTTGGAAGGACCGAGCTTCTTACTGGACGCTGGGAAAAGAGAGATTTATGGTTTTGCCAGTTTGGTATTCCACTCTGACGTTCTCTTAGCTTCTCGCCATTATACTAAATGATTTACCACTTTTCTTTCTGTACCTAATTTTGGCTTTCAGCTAATTTCTTAACTCTTGTTTACTGCTTATCTTTATTTTCTTATTGCGTAGGAAGACTGAATAGAGCAACAATTTTCAACCAGTGTGCTGCAAGAATTTTTAATTAAAAAAACGATTTTTCAAGAGAGAAACATCGATTTGTTGTTTCACTTATTTATGCATTCATTGGTTGATTCTTGTATGCGCCCTGTTGGGAGATTGAACCCACAACCTTAACATATCGGGACAATGTTCTAACCAACTGAGCTACCCAGCCAGGACATACTTTTCTTCTTTATTTTTTATTGATAGCCATCTGGTATGAGTGGATCGAAATTACACCTATTTTGCCCTGGTTGGTTTGGCTCAGCGCTTAGAGCATTGGCACGCGGACCAAATTGTTGCAGGTTCGATTCTGGTCAAGAACACGTACCTTGGTTGCGGGTTTAATCCCCGGTTGGGGTCGTGCAGTAAGCAGCCGATTGATGTGTCTCTCTCATAGATCTTTCTCTTTCTCTCTCTCTCTCCCTCCCACTCTTTCCCTCCTCCCTCCCTTCCACTCTAAAAAAAAAAAAAAATCAATGGAGAAATATCCTTGGGTGAGGATTTTAAAAAAATAATTATACCTATTTTTTGTCAGAATGGGAGAAAAAATATTCTTTTAGTTGCTGCAGGAATTTTAGTAATTTATGTGTGCCAAAATGAAAAAGGTTGAAAATCTCTGCAATAGAATAATGCCTAATTATATTGCCACTAGATGGCAGAATGGAATAAGTCAGATATGTAGTATTTTGACAGAAGAGTGTGTGTGTGTGTGTGTGTGTGTGTGTGTGTGTTTTAGAGACCTCTGTCTCCATCTTGTGGTGGTACATAATTATACCAATTACTCTTGCATTCCTAACAAGTCCTTATTTCCTTGTTAGAGCAATGCCAAATGGTGCTTAGTTATTAGTAAATAAATACAGCAACAACATTAAGATTTGTGTATGGTTAAAGATAAAAATACTATTGCTTTGGGTTTTTTTGTTTTTGTTTTTCCTTTCACTTAAGAATTTGAAATGATTCATTAACATTATTTGTGATGAATGTTTCAGGATGTAAACACACGAAAATTGTAAGCTACATCTGATTAAATGTCTGGCTAACGTAAGCTGTGTAGGTAAATCACATAGCAAGTTAGTGCATAGATCCTGCCTGAAATGAGACACGTAATACTAGATGTTAGTCTTACAAATAAATGTTTTCCCACATTTGGGTAAAGGTAAAATGAAAACTAAACTGAACATTTTATTCATAACATGCTTAGAAATATTGTATTACTTTAGGGTTATTGTTGTCAACTGAAGATACTATAGTATTATTCAGAACTAATGATATTCTGGTCTTTAAAAAAAGCTTGAAGGAAATATGCCACATGGTTAATTAACAGGAAGAATCTCTGGCTTTATATTCTTTACAATGAGTCTGTTTTTAACTAGGCCAGTTAAGAGGTTTGGTTAAATAGAATGGTTTCTACCAATATTCTATACATATTTGCT